TTGTTGGGGTCTGGGCTGTGGGTGGGCTTTGGGCCTTGGGGGCGGTCAGTGTTGGGGCCGGTGCTTTGGTTCCTCCTGGGCTGTTCCGATTCTTTTAATCTAGGTTCCTGGTTGCGATGGCCGGCACTCTGACCGGGGTGGCTGCCGGCTTTCGGCGGGGGGTCGGCTATGGTAGTGTACGTGTGGTCATTGGTGGTGTAGGGCGGCGGTTGGGGGCGTGGCTTCGCCTCATCCGGGCACTGGCTGGTCTTCCTGTGTGGCATTTGCAGTGGGGGTGCTGTGTATGTGGGGGGTGCATGGGTGGCGTGCTGGGGCGTCTCCGGGCCTATGGTGCGGAGCTCTTGATGTGAGAGCCGGCCCTCCTCGGCTGCGGCTCCCTGCTGCTCTGCCCCTTGGGCTGGGGCCGGCCTGTGGTCGCTGTCAGGTAGATGGTGCATGCGGTCGGCCCGACAGAGATTCTGTCGGGCTATCTGTGTGTGCCTGTTGGTTGCTCGGGTTGGGTTTTTGGTGGTCCCCCCCTCTCTTGGATCAATTTGGGCCCCACGTTTGGTGTGGGGCACACTCCCCCCGGTCGTGCCCCCCCTTTGGCGGGGGACTCCCTTGCCGCCGGTGCATTGGTGGCTCTCGGTGTCTGGGCTGGGTGGTGGGGTGCACGTCGGTCCGCCCTGGTTGCTGCCTGGCGGGGCCTGGGTGCCCTGGCTCTGTCGGGGCTCTGCTAGGGGGGTGGTATGGCCTCGGGGCTTGGGGCTCGGTGTCCATGGCCGGATCTACTTGGGGGGGGCATGGGTCGCTGGCCGGGCCTGTGGGCTCGTCGTTGCAGCTTCCTGGAGGCTCTGCATTGTGGTGGCTGGGGTCACCCAGTTCTTTCCTCTGCTCCTCTCTGGGGGGGTGCGGTTCTCCCTGTTGGGAGACTCTTGGGGCTCCAGGCCTGTGGGCCGCTGTGTGTCTGTGGCTCCGGTCCTCCCTATGTTGCCATTGTGTCCTGGGGGGGCGGGTCTGTGGGCCCCCGCGTCCACTATTGGGCATTCTTTTGGAGAAATCTGGTGGTGGTGGGCGTGCTTGCGCGGGTGTTTGGATTCAGGTGCTTTGACAGATGCACGCTAGGTTGGGTAGTGGTGGAAGCTAGATGATTCCTTGTGCGATGTCGAATGTTTCATGGTGATATTGTGGGTGGCATTGTGCTGTGCATGTTGTTTTGTCATGGTGGTCTCTCGCCTTATCTTCTTCTTTTTTATTATTTATTTATTCTTCTTTCTTCTCTTTCTTTAAAAAAAAAAAAAAAAAAAATTGAGCGATGATGATAAGTTCATTGAAACACTTCACAATGTTTCTACACTTAAACTGAGCTCACAAAAAAAAAAAAAAAAAAAAAAAACCTCTGTCTGTTTTGATCGTTTTATTAATATATACATATATATTTTTTTCTCTTTAATTTTACTCTCATTGATTGTTGGTGTTGTTGTTGTTAAGCACTTTGATAACAGGTTCTGTTTTAAATGTGCTCTATAAATAAAGTTGACTTGACTTGACTATTTCATGTTACAACATGGACACCTGCAGCTTACAGTATATATGTACAATTTTGTATTCTTTTGTTAAATTTAGTGTGCGCTGCTTATATTTGGGTGCGCTCTATAGTCTGGAAATTACGGTACTTCACATTATTCCTGCTGGAATATTTGTGGAATGTAAAACTGATGGCAGTATGTTGGTTAAACTAATATTTGCACGTGAACCTCTATGAAATCAAAAGTTTGAAATTATGTTAAGATAGAAAAATCCACTTTCGATATCGGTCCTTTCAGGAAATTTTGGTTAATACTCAAAAGTTCTTTTACTAATAAAGCCTTGTGTCCATGCATAAACAGCGCTTTAGGAGTCTCAAGTTCTTTGAAAATAAGTTTCTAAAGTGAAAGTGTTGAAACGTCACTCTCTCTTTCTTTGTGTAGACGGCCATAAGTCAACCATTTAGGAACAAGCGGTACGCCCATGCCCCCCGATGATGTGGAATTTAAATAGTGAATGTAGTTTTCAAGATGGCCTGGACAAGCAAAGACCTTGTATAAGCTTTGACCTTGATTTGTGACGTTGACCTTAGAGCTGAGGTGATGAAAGATTATGAGATACTCCGTGCAGACGCACTTCATTTCTTTTTTTTTTAAATGATCTTGAGAGGATCAGAAGTTATGGGCGGGACAAGAGAACGTTTAGGGACAGAGACTAAAAGATAATACGTTCCACCTTGGACAGGTGTATAAGTTTAAGGATAATTCCAGCATGTCCAACATTTCTGGCTAGGACATTGTGAAGGTAGAAAGACTGATAGAATAAAGACATGCAACTAAACCATGTTTCTTAGGATCATTACAATCAATGTTTGCCACTCAGCTCAGTCTGAGTGAATGATGTGGGGGTGAGGCCAGCTATGCTGTATGGTCTGGAGACAGAGACAAGGATAAAAAGACAGGAGACAGAACTGGAAGCGGAAGAAATGAAGATGTTGAGGTTCTCCTTAGGATTGACATGGATGGATAAGATTAGGAATGAGATCATCAGAGGTACAGCACAGGTTGAACAACTGGGAGATAAAGTTAGAGAGTCCAGACTAAGCTGGTTTGGGCATGTCCAGAGGAGGGACAGTGGTTTGGACATGTCCAGAGAAGGGACAGTGGGTATATTGGTAGAAGGACGTTAGAAATGCAGCTGCCAGGAAAAAGACAAAGAGGAGATATATGGATGCAGTTAGAGAGGACATGGAGGTAGTTGGAGTGAGGACAGAGTGAGATGGAGGAGGACTCGCTGTGGTGACCCCTGAAGAGGAAAAGCCAAAAGAAGAAGAACAACAAGATGAAATACAGTCTGACAGAGACATAAAATGCTCATATAACCCACCGACAGAGCATGAAGGAGCCCATAACAGAGGTCATAAATTAGATGAAGTACCTCATACTCCTCTGACTTCACAGTGAGCTGGGGAACCAGCGACAGCAGCTCAGCTATGGCTTTAACAACCAGTGGACGGGCGTCTCGACTCAGCTCAGGTCCAAGGCTTTTCCACGTTGAGATCAGGTCCACTACCTGAGAGACATTTCCTGAGTTAAAGCAGAACCTGATGGAAGAGGCAGGTTCCAGCCTGCAACATCATTGCATATCCTCCATGTTACCACTTACAGCGATAACGCAGAACATGAAATGTAAAAACACCTGTCCAGGTGTGGTACCTCTGCTCTGCACAGCTCCTGTAAACCCTGCAGGGCGAGAGCAGCGGGCGTGGCCAGGTCTGGTCGGTCGCTCTGCTTCAGAGTGAGTGAAATGGCAGCTAACATGTCCCCTCCGTGCTGGTAGGGCCTGAAACACAGAAACAGTAAAGACTGAAGGCCTTACAAAACAAATAGTTCACTGATGTCGACCATCTCTGAGGGATTTAAATAGTGAATATTTGTAGTTTTAAAGATGACTTTTTCTAGATTGGAACTGAACAGAAAATGAAGTACCATACTTTACGGTGTATAAGCCTCTACTTTTTTCACTGGCTTTAAACCCCAGAGCTTATACAATGCTGCGGCTAATTTATGGAATTGATTCTTTTTTTGAGGGGCTAATGAGCTTCCTGCTGCCAAAAACATGCAGCTACGTCACACCTGGACGCTCACAAAGCTGCCCTATAGACCTTTTTCACGACAACCGGAAGTAGCGTCTCATGGTGCTGGGTCACTTCCTGTTATTGCGAGTCTATGCAAGTATCAGCCTTTTCTTTCGCTGATGTGGAGGAAATCGCAGCGGCAAATTCTTGAACCAATAAACTTGAGAAAGGATAAAAGTTCTTCCATGAAGAATATATCCACAGATATCAAGGTAAGAAAAGACGTAGCTTAGTGAGCTAACCGTTAGCTACAACATATGAAGCACATAAACATCGTAAAAAAGCCTAATTTAGTGTGCTAAATTATTTGGAGTATTTGAGACAGACGTGGGCAGCACGGTGGCGCAACTGGTAGAGCTGCTGCCTCTCAGCGAGCAGGTCCCTGGTTCAAACCCCGGTCCAGGGGCCTTTCTGGGTGGTTTGCATGTTCTCTCCGTGCATGCGTGGGTTTTCTCCGGGTACTCCGGTTTCCTCCCACAGACCAAAAACATGCATGTTAGGCTGATTGGTAACTCTAAATTGTCCCTAGGTGTGAGTGAGAGAGTGAATGATTGTCTCGTTTGTCTCTATGTGGCCCTGTGATGGACTTGCAACCCATCCAGGGTGTACCCCGCCCCTCGCACAGTGATTGCTGGACATGGGCACCAGCGACCCCCTTGACCCAAAATGGAATAAACGGGTAAAGAAAATGGATGGATGGATGGATGAGACAGACGTGGTATAAACTTTTAAATGATATTTTAACATTCTGATATGTGTTTGCCATTACAATTTGTGAAAGAAAACGTACTAGGTGTTAGTTATGAGATGTTATGATGCTTGATGTTCAAATTGTGCTTTACTTCTGCATAACTACAGGTCAAATATTGTTGAGGGACAGGTAGTTGTCAGAGCTAGATGCTTCAGGTCCATGAAGAAAAATGAGGAACCACAGACTGCAGGTTTGTAACAGTCAGAAAGCCGGTTGGCTCATGTTCATTAGAGTTCCTGTTCATTTCTGACAGCTGAAGAACTTTGACATATGATGGAAAACTTCTGTACTGAGAGCTTACAGTAACATCTTCCTGTTCACTGGTTACTGTTTGTGGAAGCAGCAAAGTCTGTTTTGTTCTGCTGCTGTTTCAGCTCATCTTCAAACTAGAATCTATTACTTGTTTAAAGCTAAATATGTTATAACAAGTATTATATGTATGTGCTAAAAACAGTTGTCTGTTTTAGATCTCACTGGGGGACAGCAGGAGAAACTCAAGTCCCAACCACTTATCACACATCCTAAGTTTGGAGCTGGTACCATCCAGATGTGGTCCTGTGCCACAGGGCTCACAGATGTTTTACCAGTGCCCACCTGAGAAGTCCTGCGTAGCATCATTCTGGACCACATGGCTCCACACTTCCCTGCTCTTCCTCTGAGGCTGCAGTCTTCCCAACATGTTTTGTGTCCACACTTCACATCTTCAGTCTCTGCAAGTGTCACTGGAAACGTATTCTCAGAGGCCAGAACCAGGGAGCAGTCCAGATGTTCTGCAGGGGTTCAGCTTCTACAACCAAGGCTTACTGCTGTTTCCGTGTTGCAGAAGAAGTGTGGAGTCTGCTGACATGTTTTACTTCAACACCTTCATCCATGTGTTTATATCAACGCAGTAAGAATCATAAAATGTATAAATCACACTTTTGTTCCTTCATATTTTTAATGTTCAGTCTCAAGCTGTGAATCACTGTAAATACTGTAGCACCTCTGAGAAGGTGCTATTTATAAGACTGAGCTGAATACAGCACCTCAGACTGAGGAAATCTTTCGGATGAGAGACGAAACCAATCTACATTTTTTTTTGCTTTGTTTTGTTTTTTGTTTTTTTGAATGTCCAGAGGACCAGATTGAACTTTTTTGGACTGTAAATAGTTGTTACTCATGAAAAATACATAAATGTGCCAATTTCTTTAAAATGAAATTGCATAATTTGGGAAAAATATCTATAATCCACTATCCAAAAAAGTTCAGTCTGGTCCTCTGGACATTCAAAAAAACAAAAAACAAAACAAAGCAAAAAAAATGTAGAAACGTTTCGTCTCTCATCCGAAAGACTTCCTCAGTCTGAGGTGCTGTTTTCAGCTCAGTCTCTTAAAAAGCACCTTCTCAGAGTGGATCAACCAGTTTGCTGCTGACAACCAAAACCAGCTGCTCACATGCTCAAGAAGGACCATCAGCCTATGGGCCTCACATTCACATATAAAAATAGTTGAAAATGGCCCCAACCTTTAGTTCAGCCAATCTTCTCTCAGGTAAGACACTGACTAATCATGGTGACTCAAGCAGGAGTGAGAGTCCACCAACACAGGACTGAGCAGAATGAGGACAGCTGGGAGTTTATCTGTAAAACCACTAAATAAAATAAAATTAGCAAGATTGTTTCAATTATTAAGCTTATTGACATTATTATTATTGTTGTTGACATTATTTCCGTGAAGATCAATACATTTTGTGAGTCAGTGCCTTGATCTCTCCATGACTTACATGACAAGTTTATAATGTACCATCTTAATGTGATATTTACCTGTGGTGGATGTGCCACCAGGTGAAGTGAGTTTCTCGTGGACTCCAGTAGCAGCTTCAGCCTGGCTAGCTTTCTGTGAGAGGACAAGCTGCTGTTTCTGAGTCCTCTAAAAACAGACTCTCTCTTACCTGGTGCAGTGAAATTATTCCAGGTGAAGAGAAAGAAACAGCTCAACCTTTAAAGCAGCTGGTGGTGGATCTGTGGACAAAATCCTCCTGAGTGAAATGCAGGCTACATACAAGTGCTCCCTGCTTTATGAAGAAGTCAGGACCATCATCTTTTCTGATAGCTTGGATCCACTGCCTCCTTTGGTCTGGGTACGTCGTGAAAAGCATGGTAGGACAGATATGGTTGTTTTCTTGCCCCACAAGAACAGCCATGAACTGAACAAAAGCAACTGCGCCGAGACTGAGCCATTTTCGTCACTGTCTAATGCTAACGCTATAACCACCGGAAGTTGTTTAACACCACATCCGCTTTAAAACCCGGAAGCGTGAAAAAGGTCTATACACGTGTCTCTTGGGAGGTGGGTCCTCGTGACTCAGTGAGACTACGTGTATATATAAAGGTAAAAGAAAATCTGACCAATGAAACTACTGAACAGGTCACATTTGAACCAATGAAATGAGGAGGGGGGAGAGAACGAGGAGGAGGGAAATTCCCCAGCATACGCAGAGCATGTGAGTCTCACATGCTCACAGAACACCGTTTTGCTCTGCGGAGCAGGAGAGCAGCTTGAAGAACAGCTACTGTATTTTTAATTTTTTAACCAGCCGTGTTAAAGGCATCAGAAAAAAGCAAATTTACCATGCATATTCGTGCATGTTACCAGTACGCATTTAATTAAAAGTTTTTTAAAAATCTTTCTGTGTAAATATCTCATGTTACGACATGAACACCCATGGCTTATAAATGTACAAAATTGTTTTTTAGTTAAAAAAAAAAACAAAGCAACAACAAAAAAAATTATTATCAATACAAACTTGATAACGATACAGAACATGTCTGTGTTGTTTTAAAAACGATTAACCAGGAAAAGAATCACTAAACTGAGCTCATTTGTTGTGTTTTGAAACGATTCGAGGGAGACGTCCATCACACATTCAATACGTTGCACTCCACCTCTGAGTTCTTCTCCACTCCTTGTTCGGTTCCACTTGGCCCGCTTCCTTTCAGAAAATGCACATCTGAGAGGGAAGTGGACGACTTAATCGTTTTGTGAGAGTGCTAGAATGTGTGCCTGTGATGAACTGAAGTACTGTCCAAGGTAGGAATGTGCGATATAAACGGTACACGGTGGAAACGATAGAAATTTAGCCTACGATAGAGATCCATCTTCTACCGGCTAACCGCAGTAATGCTGTGTCTGAAGTAAAATCAGGGTTGTCAGTTTAATCGTTACTTTTGTTTTTGTTGAAAACTGTGCATAAGTGGTGTTCAAGTGTAAAATCAGAGCTGTCAGATTTAATCGTTACTTTTTTTGAGTTGAAAACTGTGTGCAAGTGGCATTAAAGTAATTTCTTCGAGAGCCAAGTACCAAAGCTACAAGCACACTACAGCCGGCTTGCCGTAGTGTTGCCGTATTCGGACCATGCGCAAAACGCTGAGTTCCGTGGAAAGTTGGGTTTTTTTCCCGTCGAAAGTTAAAGTAAGCGTTGGTCAGCTTTAGAGAAACCTGCTCTCTGATCTGTGAAAAGAACGCTGTGTTGTTTATATTTATGGATTTTACTGCGAGACCCTCTGGTCAAAGCCACAGACTCATTTTGTGTCAGCTCTCCTTAAAACAGAAGGAGTCGCCCACTAGAGGGTTGGTGGGTGAAGTGTTTCAGTGTAAAATGCTGCTCTGCTGCTGTTCATTTATAAAGTGAGACTGGAAACTGTTAAGAGTTAACAACATATTATTTTGTTTAAAACATAAGGCTAAAACTACATTTGATATCTTTTGCACTGTTTTGCACTACAAGAAAGAAGCCCAACACTTGATTTGTTTAATATTTAAAAACTCTGGACCTAGTAGTGGATTTTTTTAAAATTCAAAATATATGATGGCAAAAGGACACCCTATGCTTTTTAAAAATTCCTATTAAGTTTTATACCAAAAACATATTGCGATATATATTGTTATCGCCACCCTTGACAATACATATCGTGATATGAATTTTATGCCATATCGCACATTCCTAGTCCAAGGTGTACCTAAGTTTGTACAAAACAGCAGTGAAAATCACTATGCTAATTGTGTTAGCCTTTCTATGGTGTTTTAATATTGAGTTAGCATCCATGCTAAACCTGCATACTGTATTTGCCGGTGTATAAGTCGCATTTTTTTGCATGATATGCAAGTCCTGCAACTCACACACCAAAGCGACTAATATATACCCACTGGACCCCCGTTTTGAAAAGGGGAACCACCGCCCCAGTCTGTCAGTTTGTGGTACTGCCCCCGAGTGGACGTGTTCTAATACTCCTGCTAAAATAACTGTGTACAGGCAAAACAGCAGCATTAAGAATGTGAGTGAGTGCTGAGAGAAGGAACTTGTTCTGGTGTTTTTGTGTTTAGAGACCTCTCTCTGCAGATGTCCCTGAGACAGGCAGCCCGGGCCAGGATCAGCTCCCACTGGGTGTCCCTCCCCACCACTCCCCTGGACTCCAGCTGGCCCAGCAGACGTTGCAGCTCTGGGTACACTCGATCCTTTCCAGATGAACAACAGACACATTTAAGGAAAAGTTCTAAAAATAAAAATTCACGTCCGTGTTTTAGTTGTTAAGTCAACCTGTTTTTTCCAGAGAGCAGTCATGAGACGCAGCGCTACAGCTCTCAGCTTGGGGGCAGCAGCCAGCATGTGGAGGTTCTGCAGCACCATGGGGATACAGAGCTGAACGAGCAGAACCAAGGGTCAGGTTTTCACACGGGGTTTACGCGTCAAATCAAACTTTGTGACATACCTTATGAGTCCCGAGGCTCGGCAGGCAGCTGAGCACAGCAAGAGAGAGAGACGGGTTTTTCTCCTGAGACAGTTTGAAGAGCAGGACAGGAACCATGGAGGGGACCTGCAGACACACACAGCCCCCCCTCATTCAGACTTTAGTTTTTTAACTTATAAGCTTTTCAAAACATCTGCAGAGACACAACGCTCTCTTCAGCTCTTTCAAAAGCTTTGTTCTCTTTGAAATCTGCTTCAGCACCACCCCAATCTTTCCTTAGACTTTAGCTACTACTCTGCTACATTTAGCCAACTTATAGACTTTAGCTAAACATTCTGCTGCTACTAGCTCTAGCTACCATTTTGCTATGTCTAGCTTTAACTAGTTTTGTTTATTGTCACATTTGACCACTGTTTTGTGTCTTTTTGCATTTATTATTTACTGTTTTAATAGACTTTATTGTTTTTATGTTTGCTTCTGTGTTTTTATCAGCGTATGACACTTTGGCCACCGGTTTTGATGAAATGCTGCTGCCAGAGTCTTAACTGGAGTTAGTAGGAGAGATCATGTCTGTCCAGTTTTAGCTTCTCTCCATTGGCTCCCTGTCAAATCCAGAATAGAATTCAAAATTTTACTTCTAACCTACAAAGCTCTCAACAACCTAGCTCCATCTTTTATTACAGATCTTATTGTTCCATATTTTATTAAAAGAGCACTTCGCTCTCAGACTGCAGGCTGATTTGTGGTTCCTAGAGTTTCCAAAAGCAGAATGGGAGGCAGATCTTTCAGTTATCAGGCTCCTCTCTTGTGGAACCAACTTCCAGTTTCTGTCCGTGAGGATGACACATTGTCCAGTTTTAAGACTGGGCTTAAGATTTTCCTTTTTGATAAATCCTATAGTTAGGGTTGGCTTGGGTTTCTTGACCTATGCCTTAGTTATGCTGCTATAGGCTTAGACTGCTGGAGGACAAACTGACCACATTTCTGTCTGTTGGAGTCAGCCTCCCCACCATCACAGACATCTACACCTCCAGATGCAGGATGAGGGCCACCTGCATCATGAAGGACCCCACTCACCCAGCACAAACACTTTTTGTCCCGCTCTCCTCAGGAAGGAGGTTGAGGAGCATTAAGTGTAGAACCACTAGACTGAGGAACAGCTTCTACCCTGAGGCTGTTAAGACTCATGAATCTCTAACTAGAATAATCACTGTGAAAAATCACATCATGTTGCTGCTGATCTGTTTCATGTTGATGTGTTCATTCATACTGCTGTTCGACGTAATGTTTTTATGTTATTAGTACTTAGTGTATTTTCAGTTAACATTTTTCTTAGTTCATATCTTAGATCTTATTACTGTTTTTCTTTTACATTTTATTGTTGGATGTAACTGGGACCCTGTGAACAAAATTTTGTTGCACCACATGGAGTGTGTACGACAAATAAAGAACCTTGAATCCTTGAATTTCTTCACTCTGCTGCTGTCTTTACTTGCTCTGCTCAACCTGTTAGTTTTTGTAATTATTTCTATTTTAACATGTTTTTTTTGTCTTTCCTCTTATAGAAAGTTCATCTGGACCTGTCATTCTGTGTCTGTCTCTCCTTCCTGTCCTCTCAAACCAGCTGGTCAAAGTAGATGGCCACTTGTCCTGAGCCTGGTTCTGCTGGAGGTTTCTTCCTGTTAAAAGGGAGTTTTTCCTCTCCACTGTCTCCTTTGTGCTTGCTCAAGATAGAAGACTGTGAAATAGTGAATATTCAACACAATCTGCTGCTTCCTTAGATAGAGAACTTTTACTAATTGGCTTTTTATGAAGGCCTATATGAATGTTTCTGTTCAGTGCCTTGAGATGACTTCTGTTGTGACTTGGAGCTATAGAAATAAACTGAATTGTTGTTTTTAAAGTGCTTTATAAATAAAGTTGTATTGTACTGAGATATCAAATAGATGGATTTTTTTTTTTAGATTTTAGCTAAAGTTTAGTTATTTTTACTTTTTAGCTAGTTTTGTCACTTTTAGTTTTTAGCTAAAGTTTTGCTTTTAACTAGTTTTGCTCATTTTCACTTTTAGCATTTAGCTATATCTATGCTATATATATATATATATATATATATATATATATATATATATA